GGCGGGGATTTTTTTTTTGGGGGGGGGGGGGGGTGTCGGGGGTGGCTTCTATTTTCTCTTTGCTGATCTGAATTTTCTCCAGGGAGCTTGCATGCCTCATGCAATTAAAAAGAAATGTTAAATAAATGTAGGTGCCGTTGTCAGGGTTCCAATGCGTGGGCAACGTGACTGATCCTCAACCGGTCAGCACCCGTACACAGAGCTGCCAACAGGGTCTCAGAGAGAGAGGCAGCCCCTACGGGGGTCACACAGCTATTCAGAGGCAAATCTGGAGACTGACCTTTGGGGAGGGGGACAGGTCAGGTCCCCACAGGTGGCAAGGGGGTGTGGCCCCTTTAAGAAAGCAAGGCCAGTAAGAAGAGCCCCAACTGGGGAGGGAGAAAGGAAGGGAGCAGGGCCAGTTGCTAGGGGCAACCAGTTGCCTAGCAACGGACTTCCTCTCTGCTAGCTCAGGGCCAGCAACTGGGGAAGGGGCTTTCTGCCCTGGTCCTTCCTAGACTCTCCTGGTCACACATCCTCGGTTGCTCCCCATCGGCCTGGCCCTGCAGGAGGAGTTCGGTGTCCTCTACTAGCCAGCCAGTGTCACACCTCTGGGCTTTCGTCCAGGCTGTTCCCGTGCCTGGAATGCCTGGAAAATCTCAGCCTTCAAAGCCCACGGCAAACATGGCTCTGTCCTGGCTCCTCCTCTGGGTGCCTCCGAGGTACGAGGTACGATAGGGCTGGAAGTGTCAGGCTGGCTCTGGGTCCTCCAGACTGGGGGCTCCCTGGGGTCTGAGTTGGGGTGGAGTCTCTTGGGGGGAAGCATTCCCCGGAATTGGCTGGGTGTGCAATGTTGGTGGGCGGGATGGAGAGTGTGAATGAATGAATAAATGAAAGCAAGTCCATCTCGCTTGGCCCCTGGGTCACAGTAAGTAGTCCCCAGCTTGGAGGGCAAATGGGTGGGGTGGCCATGGACTCCCCCCACCCCCACCCCCGACTCTCCAGAATGGGAAAGACAGGGAAATCCTCTGGCTGGAATAATGCTGGATCCTGGAAGTTCTGTCTGGCCCTGGGTTTGAGCCCTGATCCTGCACTTTCTCACTGGGCAACCTCAGGTAAAAGAGTCCTACTCTGAGCCTCAGTCTCTCTGTTTTTCAAGCTGTGACTTTGCCAAGGTCACAAGGCCCATTTGGTCTGGGGATGTAGATTCAAGCCCAGCCTTTAACTTCTATTCCTTACAGACTCTCCACTTGCCCAAGATTCTGCCCACAAGTTGCCAGGTCCCCCCACCTCCATAAAAGCCCTTTTAGGAGAACCCACCAAAATAAGAGTGGGTCATACTTACCCAAAAATGCTCCCCAAAATACGACATCCTGATGCCTTCTGTGGCGACCCCTGCAGACTCCTGTCTAGTGCCTGTCTGAAGAGAGAGGCAAGTCTGAGCTGCAAAGTCACGGATATTCCAACTGTCCTCCCTGTGGAGCTGAGAGAGAAGACAGTGGGGGAACCAACAGCTGGGAGCATGCCAGGGCTCCTGAGATGACTCAGTCCTAGGCCAAGTAGCCCCAGTCTAGGAGGACAAAGCTGGACACAGATGCCCCAAGTTCTGTGGGGTTAGATAGAGGGCTAGGGGCTAGGGCAGCCGTGGGCAAACTACGGCCCGTTTGAAATGAATAAAACTAAAAAAAAAAAGACCGTACCCTTTTATGTAATGATGTTTACTTTGAATTTATATTAGTTCACACAAACACTCCATCCATGCTTTTGTTCCGGCCCTCCGGTCCAGTTTAAGAACCCATTGTGGCCCTCGAGTCAAAAAGTTTGCCCACCCCTGGGCTAGGGGAACCTAGACTAGAGGAAGGGGCAAGGGAACTGGGGTTCTTAAGCACAAATAGGAGTTCACTGTTGAGAAGGTTATTGAATGAGCCCTAGACCAGGGAGAAAAGTTCTTGGCCATTTTATTTTTAAATATGTTTTAAAATATATATATATTTTATTGATTTTTTACAGAGAGGAAGGGAGAAGGATAGAGAGTTAGAAACATCAATAAGAGAGAAACATTGATCAGCTGCCTCCTGCACACCCCCTACTGGGGATGTGCCCACAACCAAGGTACATGCCCTTCACCGGAATCGAACCTGGGACCTTTCAGTCCGCAGGCTGACGCTCTATCCACTGAGCCAAATATTAGGGCTTAAATATGTTTTTAAATAGATTTTTAGAGAAAGAGAAAGGGAGGAGAGAGAAAGAGAAATATCGATCAGAGGAACATCATTGATCGGCTGCCTCCTGCATGCACCCCTACCGGGGATCGAGTCTACAACCTGGACATGTACCCTGACCAGGAATTGAACCAGTGACCTCTTGGTTCCTGGGTCGATGCTCAACCCCTGAGCCACACTGGCTGGGCTTTGGCCATTCTATTGATGGGAGAACAGGCCCCATCCCTGAGGGGAAGCCACTTGCCCAGGTCACACAGTCAGGAACGGATAGATTTGCACTCTGAGCCTGCTGAGTCCAGTCCTGAGCACTCAGCTCCACACTGGGCAGCTCCTGTGGGAAAAGGGTTTGGTGAGAAATGGACACTGGGGCTGTGGTTAGCAACATGGTGTTGGGGTCCCTTGGGGTCTCCTGAATCCCTCTACAACAGCCCTCATGTCACGCAAGCTCCTGGAATGGAGTGCTCACCCCTCACCCAGGTGCTACTGGCGCCTCCAGGAGTCCTAACCCTACCCCCGGAAGCCAGTGTTCACCTGGTATCTGAGTCACTGTCCGGCTCTATGCCTCAGTTTCCCCATCTGCAAAACAAGAGAGAATGCCGAGATGGGGTCTTGCTGGGGGGACCCCAGGTCTCCCTGAAGAGGGGGTGGGTCAGGCCACCTGGCGACGGAGGGACACTTGGTGTCCTTGGCATGTTCTCCAGGCCGGGCTTGTCACTGGAGCCTGCTGCCCCATTCATAATTCATGACTCGGAAGGCAGCTCAGCAGCAGCTGGGAGCCCAGGACGCACAGTGGCAACAGGGACAGGGCTGGTGACCGCAGGATTGGAAAGCTCCCTGGGCCTTACCAGGAAAGGACTGAGCAAGGACCTTGGACAAGGCTGCCCCTTGCTGGACCTCAGTTTACCTTATCTTGAAAGTGAGTTTACCTTGATCCATTATCATCTAGCCCCAGCCCCTTGACTTTACCCAGCACCCACCATGTGCCCACAGGGCCAGGACAATACCAGGATCTGTGAGATGATTCAGCCCTGGGCCTGCTCCCCGAGGAGCCCCCCAGTCTAGGGGAACAGAACTGGTTACAGACACCTGGTCCTGTAGGGCCACAGCTGGGCCAAATGGAGGAACAAGAACTGGGGAAGCCTGGACTGAAGAAGGGAGGCATGGGTGTTGGGTTAAAAAAAAAAA